AGAGCGGCGGGGACGACGGCGTTGAGAGTGGTGGTAACTACGGCCTCTGCAGGCGGGGAAGATGAAAGGGTGAGGAAGGGCAGCCGGCTAGGGTCCCGCTGGCAAGGTAGAGGGGCCGAGCCCCTGTAAACGGAGAGTGCTGCGAAGGGTGGGAAAGACTCGGGGCGAAGCCGGGGCGCAGGGAGAGCTCTGGGCTTCTCTTTTGAACTCCACTCCCGGAGGGGGCGGAGGCGAGGCGAGGCTGTTGGCGGGCTGAAAGGCCGACGGAGGTGAGAGGAGAGGAACCAGCACTGCGGACCGGGGGACTGACCAAGGCAACAGGGAAGAGCTATTGTGAGGCGCCTGGGGCCTCCTAGTCGGCAGCGCACGGCTGGGCCGTCTCCAGCCCACTAGTTCAGGTGCAGTGATCTGGTTGTCCTGTTAATCATGTCCAGGCTGAACACTGGAACTGCGTGTTTGACACCTTTCGGTTTTATTCCCTCTTGGGAGCCTTGCAGAACCTTTTGGAGGGCGAAGGAATTGGGATAAAGAGTCTGGGGATGAGTATTAAGAGCAAATGACTCAACTAGATTTGGGTTGGGTCAGAGCGAGTGGAGGAGGGGGAATAAGCTCGATTTTGGGTGCCCGCTTGTTTAAGGAAGTATTTACTTCAGTAGGTGGAGCTATTGCTTCAGCAGTTTGAATTGCCCCTGACTTGAGTGAGGGGCTTCCCGGTTACTGCTATGTTCAGTCTGTTGGCAAAGTTAAGGTTCGATCTTTCGGCCTCTATCTTGGATAAAATGAGGGATTATTTTGGTTTAATTGTTTTCAGTTGAATAAAATGTCTCCTTTAGTTAGATACTACTACAGTACTAGTTACACAGTACTGTGTAAAGCATTACTTTAAAAAGCCGTTTTGGAGTTTGCTTTTAAAATCTTTGGAGAATGAAATGGAAGCTTGTAATTGTTAAAAACTTTCTGAGACGCTCGAGGGTTTTTTTTAATTGATTAAAGAATTGTAACTATGCTGTAAGTTAAACTATCCATCAACTCTTCGAAGTAATCTCTTGCTACCTAAAATAAAGGGCCTAAATAGTATTTCGTGTACCTATATTTGAACTCACATAAAAGATACTGAGAAGTTTAATTTGGTTTTAGGTCTTTTACATGTTTTCTTACTCTGATTTTGCAGGAAGTACCGCATATTCATTGCAGTGTTGAATTGCATATCTTGGAAGTATTTGCTCCACTTGAATCTTGATTCAGGAAGTTTATTTCATGTACTATCCAGCATATATAGGGAGTCTTGTTTTTCTGCTGGGCTGTATTCCTTGTGTATAGATGTCCTCGAGTCATTTTTTTGTATTCTCAGTGCTATCTACTCAATACATATTTAGCACGTTCTGATTAAGTAATAAAAAGGCTGAAGAGTTCCTCGTGTTGAAATTGCCGTGGTTTAAACGGGGAGTCCTCCAAGAGCTTATTCTGGATGTGCAGATCCAAAATTTAGCTCAGTCTCTAGAGTTTAAGAATCTTTCTGATACCTAACTTGGCAACAAAAATGGGACCAGTAGTATTCACAGTGTAAATTAATACATTCGTGAAATATTTGTCTTTTCATTTTTAGTGAATAAGTGTAACCTGATGGGTGCAGATGCTTAAAAATGACTAACTGGAAAAATTTAGAGACAACTTTTTTTTGGTGGTGGTGGTGGTGGTGTTGGTTGTGGTGCTAACCCAGGGCCTCAGGCATGCTAGGGAAACACACTGTACCTCTGAGCTACATCTCCAGCCCTAAATTTAAAGAAAACTTAAGTTTCTGAAATCTCTTATGCCAGTAACCATGCAGGAAATGTTGCTTCCTTTAGGCTCAGGTTGCTTGTTTATGAAGGGGACATTATGGCTTGAATTTGTGAATGATAAGCCGATTATTTTTATCTATTAGTCCTTTCTAGGGAAGATGATATTCAAGCAAGATGTTTGTTATAGACAGCCATGACTGTGGTGGCAATGTAATTAGTCATCAGTATAATAGAAAGTAAAACTGAAACCGTTTTTATCCTTCAATTCTAGTAAAGAGGTGCAAATTCTAATAAAATGGCTTTAACATGAATACTTATGACCAAAGTATGGGCAGAGAAGTAAGTAATATTTTAAGTGTATAACCGTACAGTTTATTTGAAATATTTAAAGGAGCCATTTTGACCAAACATTACTAGAAAAATACAACTGAAATGTAAGATCCTGCAGTCAGAAACAAGACTATTTTGAAGAATTCAGAGTAATACTTGCCTCTGATAGCATTTGGACTGGGAAGCGCACAGGGAAGTGCTGGAAATATTTTGTATCCTTATCTGCGTGGTGATTGATTACATAGAATATGTATATGTACACATGTAATAATATATGTGTAAAAATGAGTTAAATGAATATATGTGCTGCCAAAGTGAGCACAATGACTGAGTTATAAACAAGATTTGTGGTCATTGCTGTATGTGTCATATATCAGAAAAACTTTTAAAAGATTATATTACTGTTTTTGTCAACAAAAAAAAGGCTAAAAATAGCACTTGACAATTTTTATAAACCCGCAATTCATATTCCTTGCTTTGTGATACCAGTAATTTGTGTTTGTTGATTGAGATGCTGAATCTTAAATACTTTGAAAAATCCCCTTTGCTATGTAGAGATCAGTTCATATAAAAAACTTACATATGCTACAGTTTTCTAAAAAGTATCAATTTACTGCCCTCCTACAAAAAAGAAATGGAAGGTAAGTGATACAATGTTAATATTCACTGCTCAGGCACAGCTATACTGCAAAACATGAGAGTTGTTTGCATCTATCTGTAAAAAGAATCATTATATAATTAAGTACCTGTAACCTACATGAGTTTGGGTACTGGTGACCCATGCTGTATTGCCATTAGTGGTGTGATATCCTAAATTTGTGGACAACTCTTAGAAAAGCTCTTAACAAAAAGTACTTAAGAATTTCTTTGTTGGAAAAGATTTTAAAGGTTATGGGGGGGGCTGAGTACTTGTCTGTTGCATCAAGATACATGTTCCTTGATCATTTTGAACTTCCTGATTGTTTTTGAGTATTAGTGCACATGTGATCTGTAGAATGGGAAAGTGGAACTACTTTTATAATTGGTTTACGTTCTATTTTTTTATTAGCTTTGTGGCCATATTAATTTTACTGTATAACACATTAATTATCATCAACTAAAATTTCCCATTGTGTGTTGTGGCATATGCCTATAATCCCAGCGCTCAGGAGGCTGAAGCAGGACCGGAGTTTGAGGCCAGCTTAACTATATATATAGCAAGACCCTGTCTCAAAAAATTTTTATTTCTCTTGCTAAGTCTCACAAGGTATTCTTTTTCATTTCTGGTACCGGGGATTGAACTCAGGACCTTACACTTGCGAGGCAGAGGAAGTATTATTTTTCAAAGCCAGTGCTTTTGCCGGATCAAACTAATACCTGTATAAATTTCACTTTGGTATTTCGTCCTTTAACTATCTGAATTTTCTTTTAGATATTAATTAACTCTGGCTTTCAGGTTTGAGACTTCTGAAGTTATGTATGTACTCAATTCATATATTTTTCCTTCAGCTTTTTAAAAAATATGGCCTCCAATAACTGATAGAGTTGCAGTAGTGTAGTGGCCAGTGGAAGCATTCTTTCCATCAGAATGAGTAGTGTATTGATTGTAGTTTAAAAATACAAAATTACACAATAGTGCTATCACCCACCTTGCTTTTCTTTTTATTTTTTGTCAACTAGTTAAATTAATTCAGTGCTTTAATTTGCTGTTAAAATTTTATTCCTGTCCAATACAGTAGTTATGATTGGGTATTGAGCAGTTGAAATATGCCTATATGGCTGAGTAACTGCTGTATATTTAAAAATAAAAAATTAATTTTACATTAAAAATGTAAAACTCAACTTATTGACAGTTTTTAAGAATGTTTGGGACAACTTGGATATGTAGATCTGTAAATTTTATGAAAGGAAGATATGTAAAAATTTACACTGAGAAAGCTGGAATTTTAAAACTTTGTATAAAAGGGGTTTAAAATGGTGAAATAGTCGTGTTTTGTTTTGGGAACATGTTGAAATGGTTTCTCCTCTTTACCTTTTAATGTGGATCCTAGAAAACTAAATTGTTTATGTACCTGAAACTATATTTGTATTAGATTTTATTATTGCTCACCTGCTTTTTTTTGAAAAGTGGTATAAAAGCAAAAATTCTTCCCTTAGAATCTAGTTTCCAAATGGTAGATATTTTTGAATGTTTCAACTTGTGGGCCAACAGTTAATTTATAACTGTTTATACCTCTGTGGCAAAGGACTCTGAGGCCACCATTCCAGTTTTTTGTG